AGCTGTATAATGGTCTCTACTCAGATGGGTTCGAAGCAGCTCATGTGAGGTCAAAGGTCAGGCTCATTCATTCATTAGTGCAGACAAACACACAGAGCTAAACAAACAGTAACTGAAGGCCCTTTGCTAAATGTTACAAATGAATTAGGACATACATTCCAGATCGACATACTGTCCAATTATCTTCCTGGCTGTAAATAAATGGMCCCAGAGTTGAGTTTAATTATTGTGTGAAGGTGGATGCAGTGTTCACACTGTAGTCATCCTGTTTCTCTCTATTCTATCTCTTTTCTTTGGTGTCATTTTTTGACGTCTGCACACTTTGCACCATTTGATTCTGGCCACAACTTTTGTTTGTTGTAGCTTTTACACTTTTCAAGATATTTCATTTCAGTCTCAAAAAGTGCTGTCCATAAAATTAGATTGAGRTCTTTAATTCCTTCAAACACATGGTTTACTTTAAAATCGACTTTAGCATACTTGCTGTCTTTTTTTTTATTTTGGCAAAATTATACTACTTTTAGATTTCAGCTTGCCTTTTCTTCTACATTTAGCTAGGGGTTTGCTATGTTTAGCTTTCAGTTTGTTGTTTTACTACTTTTAGTTAGCATTTTGTTAGGATTAGCTGTTAGGTAGAATTTAGCTACTTTGACCTTTTAGCTAAACTGAAGTTGTACAACATTTAGCTTTTATTTAGTGATCTGCTRCTTTATAGCTTGTGATCTTTTAAAATTAGTTTGAGTTCTGCTTCTTTWAGCTTCAACAACCCAATTTTARCTTTTTTAGCAAATTTATTTAGTACTCAGGGTCCATGCTGCATCTTCATAGAAAATTAAACTTATTTTAGGTTTGTCTTTAGCGTTTTGTGCAAGTGATAGCAATTTTTTTTCATGCAGCTGCAGGAGGCAGATGAGCATGCGGTTTAGTGCTTCGTCCCTGTGTGATAAAACACATTCACTCCCTTTCTGTGTGTGCCAGACATACACACATTGTGTGTTATCATAGCACGAGGGTACGGAGGGCACATTTTGAATCTGCATGCTTTGATGAGGGGATACTTTGAGCTTTCGTACTGGTCTGGGATCAGCTTGTAAAAGTCGTGTCATGTTATCTTTGCCCTCTTCCCCCTGTCCCACCACTGGCACTCTCTTTCACACAGAGTCAGGACATTTATCTCCCACAAAGCACACTGTCTTACAAACACACACACGCACCACCCAAAGCCACCTCACATTCCACCCAGACAGTACACACATATGCATACACACACAAAGCTGAGTGTCGTGATGTGAAAACTGAACAAATTATAAGCCTAAAATACCTTGAAGGAATAACAAGAAATGAGTTGTAACTGTTTTAGTCAAAGCTTGAAAATAACATTATGCTAAATTTTGTGTGATATAATGAGATCTCAGCGCCCACATCAAAATTTAGCACATTTGTAAAATTGAATTTTGTGGTCTGCAAGGTTAGATCATTATTACGCCCATCTTCAATCGGACTGACTGCAAAAGTTAATCAGTTGTAGATAAGCATTCAGTGATTATTTCCTGAAAGTTTTATTAAAATGTTAATTAATTCATGCAGTGTTTTGCTAACAGTATGACGAACAAACGCGCGCACACAAACAAGATGATAGAACAATGCTTTAAAGATATTGTTTTTCATTCAGTTGTAACTAGTTTTCAGTGTTACTATTATTATTTTTTTAATTTATGGAATTTATCTCAAGACCCCTCACCTGGTGTGTCACGGCCCACTTCGGGGTCCTGAGCCTTGCTTTGGGAACCACTACGCCAAGCGACTGGCACGTAGAAAAAATCAGTCAAAACGGCACATGAATTGGGGGCGGGGACCAGAAGTTGTATTGTTTGAGGTTTGACAGATTGATGGAAGATTGTCCAATAGCATCGAAGCTGGAGTCCATACCGACCAATCAGAAGTGAAAACAGTGTCCACCACCTCCACGCATAATTAAATCCACTCCAGCGTGCTGGTGGAAGTGTTTAGTTTGCCATTAAACCCAGAACACACACACAGAGGGAGAGAGAAACACGTCCAACTTCGCAGCCTTTTAAGGACATCAAAACACGCTCCAGCCCGAAAAACCATAATGAAAAACACCTCAAACTTTATTTGGAAGACGCAGGAGTCGTCCGTAGAGTGACTTTTTGAAACTGGAGCTGCTTCCTCGTTCGACAACAGGCTGAAATCCCTCATCATCCTCACAAAGAAACTTTGCTTGCTAGGCTGCTAACTCGCACAAAAAAACTTAAGGAAAAKAATTATCCTCGCGGAAGACTTTAGCATCACAAAACGGTTATATCTGGAGCCGAAGGCCTGCGTTTCCGAGCAAATGTTGTAAATTTGTCCTGGAAATGATGCGCGTGGGATAAAAAAAGTAACATTTGTAACGGTTTTCGAGTAGGTCTCATCACTACAGGAGGAGGAAGATTAGCCAGCTACCACCACCAGCGCCCCCACATATTTATTTTTTTACTTTATTTTTCTTGTCAACCACCAGGAAAAACACTGCTCGTTTCAGGTAGTTTCAGGAGCCGAGTGGTTCCACATTAGTTACTGTTAACATGTCCGGCCGGAGTGGAGCTGGACCCCCAAGACCCGGAGCCCCGCAGCCCCTGAAGGCGACGGTTCCCTTCAAGCTGGCCAGCAAACCCAGAGCAAACCGGAGGGATGGGAAGTCAGGTATGAGCAACACCTGCCACAACATACAGAACATATTATGTCAATATAACCACCACAAAAACAATGTGTTTATTACAAACAATGAGTGGGAGCGACACCATGTTAGTGTAGATGTTGAACACTGTTTTCATATGATAATTTCATTGTTATATTCTATTGTTGGACAGAGTAACTCTTCAACATTAAAACTTGCACAGAAACTGCACGATGAAGCAGTAAAATGAACCTGGTTCAGGAAATGTAACTAGCAGAAAGTGTTTGGGCTTTTTGTTTCACTAGTTAACTTAGTCAACCATCTAATCCTTAACTTGATTTTATCAGTTTTGTTGCTTAAATAAGTTGATTTAAGCTCCGTGTGGCTTGACTGAACCAACAGAAACGCGTGGTTTTTCTAAAATCCACATCATGGTAAACTCAGGACAGGAAGCAGTATGTATATGGTATTTAATACAACAAACTATAGAAAATATATACAC